GCAAGGGCAAAACAGCGCCTGCCAAACCGACTAAACCTCCCCCAATTGTTGTAAAAGGGAAGCTCAAAAGTCACAAAGACCTGAAAGATGTCCTCCAAAAACTAAACATCACACAATTTAATGTCAGGTACGCAAAAAACTCAACGATAATCTACTGCGACCTGGGGCAGGCCGAAGAACTTGAGCACCACACTTACGCGGAAAAAAGTAGGAAGGGACATGCCTTTGTCCTCCGCAGCCTCGATGGGGACATTAGCATCGCCGAGCTGACCGACGACCTTAGATCAAGATACTCGATCAACCCCAAAAACATCTTCAAGATGAAGACGAAATATGAGCCCATGTACCTCGTCATACTAGACGCAAGCTAACCGTTAAAATGCTCAACCAGCATTATAAAGTCATCCTGAACGTCCGTATCACATGGGAAAATCATCGGTCAGAACGGCGCGTAATGCAGTGCCGCAGATGCCAGGGCCTGGGACATGCAGCCACCTACTGCAAACGGGCAACCAGATGCAGCAAATGCTCAGGCCCGCACCCAGTTACTGAGTGCCAAAGCCCAATCGACATCTGCGCGAACTGTGGAGGTGCTCACAGGAACAGCAATGAAACATGTCCAGTATACCTGTATACAATATGTCAGCTGGAACCGAGACGGAGAATAGTCCCGGCCCCGCCCCCCAAAACTCCAGTCTGGCAAACAAGCAGAAACTTCCCGCAAGCCCCGCCCACAAGCCTGGTACCTCGGCCCCCCAGACCCGAGAGGTACAATGAGGACTTCCCTCCTAAATTGTCAAGACCTCAAACTGCAGCAACCCCACAAAACACGACCAACATGAACTCAAATATAATAGGAGCGGTAAGTGGCAATCAATCCGACTTTCTCAAACTGGCGACAACAATGAGTGAGCTAAATTCACTTGTGAACATCTCAGAGCTGCTAAAAGCTCTTAACCACTACATAACGCTCCTTAAACAGTGCAGTGGTGACAAATCGCAAATATTGCGAGTCACCATGCAATTTTTCACCACTGAAATTCACAGTTTTGATTTTTAAATGTGGCTCATACTTAGTTGGAACTGTAATGGTCTCAACTCAAAGAGGGGAGACGGAGACCTTTATCAGGCCGTGAACCATAACAGTCCCAAACTAATTTTTCTAAACGAGACAAAACTACTACTAGCGGACAGCCCTAAGCACAAACAGTACAACACAGAACGAATGAACAGAAATCGCAGAGGCGGAGGCGTGGCCTGCCTGATCCACAAATCAAATAGCTATAAACGAATCACAACCCTAAATACCAGTATAGAACCCATAACACTGGAGATAGATAACGGTTGGTGGATCTCGGGGGGCTACGCCCCCCCAGAAGCGATAAGAACCGCCCACGACATTAAGGTCTTCTTTCCCAGAAATGGGAGAGCGCTACTTCTTGGGGACCTTAATGCCAGGCACACAACATGGCTTAACCACACGAACAACAGGACAGGTAGAATACTCTTCAAGTTTTTAAGTGATAACCCGGACATATCTCTTCCTGTACTGGAAAAACTATCCAGTGCAGGAACCGCAAAAAATACACAGCTACAAAAACTTCAACTTGACACTCTACAAACAACTTCTGAACAACATCACAACAATCCCCAACCCCATAACCACCATACCCGAACTTGAGCAGCAAGAACATTACGCAAATCAGAGATCAGCTAGCTCCAAAAATCACCCCCAAGCCAAGAACCAGAATACCAGACTCCGTTGTTGCACTCATAAAGGAGAGGAATAGGGTTAAGCGTGCATGGCAAAGGCACCCAAACAGACTGGACAAACAATTACTCAACTTACTCAGCCGGGAGATAGAGAGGGGAGTACGTCATCACAGGAACACAACCTGGATGAGGTATATCTCCTCTCTGGAGACCCAAGACAACTCCCTGTGGAAGCTGGCCAAAAATCTTCGAAAATCAGGTACGACACAGTCAGAGCTGGTAGTCGATGGCGTCAGCTTCTACAGGGAACAGGACAAAGCGAACATATTCGCTGACCACTTCGCTCGAGTGTACAGCGAAACACGCGACGCTACAAGAACTCACACAGACATCAACAACACATCCGACGCCTTTGTCGTGCGCAAATACCCTATCCCCCCAGGAGTTCACCAGCGGTTGCTGGCCACGCCTACCGAGCTAGCTGACGAACTGAGAAGACTTAAAAACAGAAGAGCACCCGGACCTGACACGATTACAAACCAACTGATCAAGAATCTCCCCCGAAAGGCTATTATGCATCTCCTGCAAATCATCAATGCAGTCATGACACTCCAACACTTCCCGCAACCCTGGAAGCAGGCGAGCATAATAGTCTTCCCGAAACCCGGCAAAGACTTATCACAACCACAGTCCTTCAGACCAATTTCTTTGTTAAATTCCCTAGGCAAAATTGCTAAAAAAATCATCTCCCGAAGACTCTCCGCATCAATAGACTCCCTTAGCGGCCTCCCCAACGAACAATACGGATTCCGCCCTCAGCACAACACGACTTTAGCAGTAGCGAGGGTGGCACAAGATGCCTCACTCGCATTCAACAACCGAGAAAGCACCTTCCTACTGCTACTCGACATAGAGAAGGCCTTTGACAAAGTATTGCACAAGGGCCTTCTCTACAAACTTCTGACTGTACACAACTTACCCCTCCACCTAATTTCTCTCATTGCCTCTTACCTCAGCGACAGAACTTTCAACATCAAATTCCAAAACTCTCTATCCCCAAACAAACCGATTCGGGCCGGAGTGCCCCAGGGCACCGTCCTCTCCCCAACCCTGTTTAACTTGTATATCGCCGACATACCCAAAACCAATGACACTAAAGTCATGATGTATGCCGACGATACTGCAATCTACACCAGTGCCATTCTAGTAGACGACGCGAGAAGGGCGCTGGAACGACACGTCGACGTCTTAAATCCCTACCTTCAGACCTGGAAAATCACCCTCACCCCTAAAACAGAACTTCTTACGCTTACCAGGAAGCGTACAAACATTATCATGAACCCTCCTCTGACAATTAACAACGTCATAATTGAACCCAAAACCACTGCCAAGTACCTGGGAATAGTCCTTGACAAGACCCTCAGGGGCCACCCCCCAGGTAGCACATACCCTCAGAAAGGCACAGATCGCCGAGCGTCTTCTGTCCCCCATCATGAAGACCAATTCTTTTCTGAGCCCTAAAAATAAAATCAGCATCTACAAGACCATAATACGTCTAACTTTACGCTACGGAGCACCTGCTTGGAGCTTCATATCCAACAGCGAGAAGAAAAAGCTCCAAGTATTCCAAAATAAAATTCTAAAAAACGCGCTTTTCTTGCCAATGGACACCCGAACAGCTGAAGTGCATCGACTTGCTGGTATAAACACCATCCTCGAATACTTCAATAAAGTCTCAATCAAATACTTCAGCCGTTCCGCATATGGACCCACCCTGACCGCAAACCTTGCTACCCTCAAGTTCGACCCACACAACCCCGTTAAACACCGACCCATACACCATAGGTTGCCAATATATTTCGAGCCGCCTTGAAGCGACGAGCGAATGTAATTAAATTAGGAACTTTTCACTAGAATAGTTTACTAGGATCAGCAATACCATTGGTACGTTGGAGTACCGCCCACGGCGCGCCCACCTAATTTAATTACAAACGCTCTGCTCGTGAACTGGCGCAAGCTTTAATATACAGAATATACCAAAGAAACGTGAAGAAGGGTTTTTTTTTCGATTTTCCCTTCATGAATATCTTGGCAACTATGGAATGACAACTGAACACTATAAACCTAAAACATTACATAAAGTCAAAACTGTGAATTGACCTATAAGGAGCACCACTGCGTGTCCCAGAAAAGAGTCATGCCGAATTGATCGCCACTGCTACCCCTATTATATTTCTCTCTAAGTTCGGGCCACAACATCGGCCGTGCCCTTTTGGCGCACATTAGAATTTAGGATTATGATTGTAGTAGGCTAAGGTAGTTTAAGTTTACATGTAAAATATTGAAAATAAAGACATAAATGCAAAAAATTAGCCGACACAAATCAATGGATAATGATCGTCCCATCCAGGGAGACCATCCAAATCAAATATAACAACCAGGAAGAAACCAGAAGCATTTTTGGAACTAACCTATGCAGCATTCCCGAAGGTTGCCAAGTCAAAGTAAAATCGAAACTGATCAACATTAAAAAATCAGTCAAAAGTAGCAGTCAACCTGTACTGCGTCCCGGTATTCAAGAAACGCCAACTCTGTTGCCTGCGTTGAATTTAAGTACCCATTTACACGACCTGAAGCTGGATGAGCTACATAAACTTCAGAACGAGATTTTAGAAGTTCAACCGGATTTATTATTTGGCCAAATTGAAACAAATCCCAGTATATGGTCCTTAGTAATATACATCCTATTGATTCTTGGCTGTATAATTTTGGCATACAAGAAAATTGTTCCAAAATTTAAGTACCAACCCCTAGAATAGAGGAGGACACAGACGTTCAACTACCCCGGCTAGGCCGATAGTTGAATCTGAGGATGGATGAGTTAAATGGCCAGAAAATACCGAGTAATCACTTTTTCTGCTGACTTCAACTTTATATTGTCATAAAAGCTTTTCAGCTTAGATTTACAGTCAGTCAGTTGAAAGCATTCAATTTATAATTGTATTCTTATTTTTATCCAAATATTGTTAGCAAGTTGAAATAAAGTTTTTTAAAAAGTAATTCTCGGCTATCGACTTGTTAACTAGCTGCACGTAGAGATAAAATTTTTAGGAGAAACCCCTTAACTTTCACGATAGTGCAATTTTTGTTTGCTGAAAATACCAATCATGCAATTAATATCCTTGTGTTGATTGATTGATTAATTTTTCAAGTGCACACACTTTCCATATCTTCAAAATTGTTTAGATAATTCTCAAGGGCTTCGTGTTTAATATAAAAACAAAATTCGTAAACAATAACGCCTAAGTGTTCTACAGAAATAATAATGACAATTATAGTGGCTGTAATTTCAGCAGCTTGTTTTGTACAGCTAAGGTAAGTAAATATTCACGTGAGCATTTAAAGTTCACTTTATCAACGTCATTTTCAGGCTAAAAATATAAATTTTACACCCAAGTCAAGCTTAAACTTTTTGATCTAGGTAATAAATTACTACTATGTTTCATGTATTTTTTTATTATTTAAGTTTTGCTGTTGGAACTTCTGGAAGCCATGCGCACCTGTTCAGCAATGAAGTCTCTAACATAAGCTTTCCAAATGGTTTCATGTGGGGTTATGCATCGGCTGCTTACCAAGTTGAAGGTGGTTGGGATGCAGATGGAAAAGGTAAGAATTGTATGAGAGAAAAGTAACGTCTTATTACTGAATGAATTCAATAATGTTCGTGCCATTTGTGTGACGATTTTTTTTTCTTAGGTGAAAGTATTTGGGATTATGACGCTCATAACCATGCCAATTGGTTTCCAGCTGGGCAAAACGGTGACGTAGCTTGTGATGCTTATCACAAAACAGAAGAAGATGTAGGTCAGTAAATATATATAATAAGAAAAAATTAAAATTTCAAAGAAGTTGAATTTAATTTACATTGCATACAATTTAAAACTTCACTTTATTAGTTTTCATATACACGATGAATTCCATGTCACAAACAATGAATAAACGAGACTGCTCACGGGAATAAGGCATTTCGCTGCAAGTATAATAAAAATAATTTTGTCTGTTAGTCGGGGAAAAATAATCTGCGGAAGCAATGACAAAACAAAAATTTGAATTTAATTAAATTTTGCATTCTTTTATTTTGAATATTATGGTATCAAAGAAGCGGAATAAATATCACAGAAGTGCTGTCGACAAAACAAATAGTAGATATCCGATTGAAGCCGAGAGCTATGAAAAAAGCAATGTAGTCAATGTGCATCTAAAATATATGGTTTTTGAGTTATTTATGATTTGCCGAAAAACTTTATAGCTCGAAGTTTATAAAAGTTATCAAATTTGTTTCGAGAAATATGAAGTATATTTATAGTCTTTCAAACAATTCACAATTTGTATCGGGTCTGGATTGCTATGTTTTTTTAAACGTATGTCTTAGTAACATTTTTCTTCAATTTTGTCAATTAACTATAATGTCAAAATTTCATGTCAAATAACCTGACCAATAAAGAAACAATGATGCGACATACGTTTTCGTAATCAAAGCAATCTTTTTTTTTGAAGACATGTTATGCTGATACAGGATACATTCAAAGATACCAACATACTGAGCAAAAATTTGACAGCATATCAGAACCTTGGCTTACAAATAATGTGAGTGTGTGAAATATTTGGTACACTTCTGGCTTTCAGATGAAAACTTTCGACCTGGGCCAAAAAGTTTAGGCTATATACAGGGTGTTTGGCAGAGGGTTAGCCAGACTTGGTGAGCGTTTAGATAGGCCTATTTCGAAGATATTTTATTAATGCAATTGTGGCCTTAAGCTCCATTTTTTTTTCATCATTTGTTCTCAAGAATTTCCAAAAATAAACCTTTTAACTTCTGTAACTTTTTTTAAAATATTTATGCCTTAATAATATCAGAAAGTTAAAAGGTCACAGAAGTTAAAACGTCAATTTTTGAAAATTCTTGAGAATAATACAAAAACAATAATATAAAAAAACGGGGATCTTAAGGGCATTAGTGTATTAAGAAAATATCTTCGAAATGGGCCTATCTATACGCCCACGAAGTTTGGCTAACCCTCCGCCAAACACACTATATACCCGACTTCAATGCATAGTATAGTCAGCTCAGCGATTCGTTTAATATTCATCTTCCTGAAAACATATGATCTTAGTAGATCACTGGCATAAGGATAAATTTATATGAAAATATTTTTTTTATAGGTCTTCTGGTACATCAAGGAGTCAACACCTACAGATTTTCAATTGCGTGGTCCAGAGTCTTACCTACTGGTCGTATTGACAACATTAACCAAGCAGGTTTGTATTTTTTTAATTCATTCAATGCCTCAATATTGAACAAAAGTTATACGAAATAACTTGCTAAATTATTTGAAATTTGTAAATTACGGAAATATTATTACATAAACGGGTTGGCAGATAAGTGAGACTAATCCAAGATAATTTAATCACCTTTGTTTAAGACAATAACACAATAACAAAAAAAAGCACTATTACAAAATAGTCTGCTACAATCAAGCTAATTAGTCACAAGTCAGTGTCTTACTATCGACTCGCGTTCCATTATTCATCCAATTAATTCGCGGTCAACTAATTGAAATTTCTTTCACAAATTTTCCATTCACCAGGCAGTGTTGCAAGATTGTGTACAACTGCTTCAAGCTGAGATATTTATAGAACTGTTCAGCCTCTCTTAATCGTATCCAAGTGGGTGTCTTTTCGCCTCTCTATGGGGCCAGCCTTTCTACGTGTACGAAGTCTGGCTGAGCTTCCGTAGCAAGTTGCATCTTATCACACACGAGCCTGTATGGCGTATGGCTTTGTCTGCGGTATTTGTAATTCCGGGCTTAGTCCCTGCTTCCACTGTGGCTGATACTGATACAACCAGACACCATCGTCTTTATTTGAATGTTTTAATAGCTGTCGCTGCTCATATGTAATATGTTCCTGAGCTTTTCCTGGATATACGGGAGATTCATTCCTCATTTCTCTTCCAATCGATGGTGTATTGAGGTAAACCACCTATTTGAAGTATTATTTTATCAAATCTTAACTTTTTAAAACGTATCCTATAGAAAAGCAAATGATAAATGCTGCAACCATGTATGCGCCGTACCCGGCACGTTGGTTCTTGATCAAGGACGTGTGAGACGGCCTACTCAAGCCAAGCAACGCGGTGTCGGGTTGGAGATTGGATGGGTGACCGCAGTAGTACGGGACGGTGGGTCGACCGCGCTGCCGCCAATCATCTGATCTCCAAGTATGAATGAGAAGGAGTAGAGCCCATATGAATGACATACAAAAAGCTTATAAAAGCTGCAGTGTAGAGTATGGGCTCGAAAGGGTGAAACCAAAAATCTAAAAAAAAAAAAAAATGTATGCGCCGTGAAGTTTTTGGGAACAGGGGAGATAGAAAATGAGCGAGTAGAGAAGAAGCTAGTCCCTTAGACCACTTGTCCGCTATTGTTCATTATTTAATTTTTATTTTGTATTAAACTGATTGTTCGATCAAGTTTGTGATTAGTTTGTGTGTCATAAGGAGCATTCACAGGGCAGTTAAATAAATGTTATTTTGTTTTTGAAAGTTTATACTAGTGATGCCGCGAGACTCGAGACTGGTCTCATTTCGTCTCGTCTCGACTTTTCGAGACGAGACTGGCTTTTGGTCTCGTCTCGTGAAGTCTCGACGAGACGAGACCAGATTCGACGAGAGTCTCGTGTAGACTCGAGTCTCGAGATTACACTTAAAATTTTTCTTTCATAGCTTTATTATTGGACTATTCTGGGCTATTTGAATATGAAATCAGTAAATTAAATATCAGGGTTACTCTTTACTGTGATTTTTCACTAATTGCTTTCTCACTGTGGTAGTTTGTCTTCCGTTATAATATAAAAACAAAAACCATAAATACAGGGTGTCCGAAAAAGTAGCGCCGAGAAACCCTAGAAAAATAATTAAATTTCCTTCTCCAGCATTATTCTTGGTAATATGAAGAGGTAGATGAGAAAATTCACCTTCGAATTCTTCAGGTAGTTACATGGGTATTTAATTTAATTCTCTGACATATTGTCAACGGGATATTTTCAGTGTTGCCAATTTTAATAAATATTAAAATGCAAATAACTTTCTTAAGAATGCCACTAGATTTCTTAAAGTATTTTTCTGGGGTTCCTTGTAGGGTCCTCCACCACGTAGAGAAGAGTTTTCACGTTTTTTTTTGGACACCCTGTATAACTCGAGACCAGACGAGACCACTCGAGACGAGACGAGACTTTGGTACTCGAGACCGAGACTTAATAACGGTCTCGTCTCGAGATGTCGAGACGAGACGAGACCAACCCTAAGTCTCGTCTAGTCTCATCTCGCGGCACCACTAGTTTATACAAGTATTATTTTTTTCATTTTTATGTTTTTTGTTTGTTTATAACATTTTTTATAACATGTGCATTGTTCATGTATTTAACAAAAATCGTTCTATGCTGTAAACAATGCAGATATTAAATCCTAGGAAATTATGTGCTGTCTTTTGTACTGCGAATTTGCTTTTTGTTATTCAGAGCGTACATTAAGGCCTTGTTGAATCTACTAACACTTTCCTTCCCTGACAAGCGAATATCCTAGTAAACAAATTGAAAAAAATAAATCTAGAGATATTGGCTCAAAATAATAACTATAGCTGAGTAGCCTCCCGTACGGGACCTCAGTACCTGCTGGTGAAACTGGCTAACTAACCAAAAGCTCTTCAGTATTGAATATAGGTAGTTTTGATTGAAAGTGGTGTGTGGAATTAAAATTTTAGCACAAGAACAGGGGCGGTACCTAATTTAAATTATTATTGACTCCCAATTGTTTATTAAAATGACACAGTATGTTTTAATTTTTGAGGAATGTTAGATCGAGGGTTTCTTTACCGTGCTTCTGAGTTCCAGGTCGAGAACGTTACGATTTTCTAATAATAAATTAGACGTTTTACAAATTTTTCGTTTATTTCACATTTACATATCACAACTTCCCTTAAATTTCCCCAATTTTGCTATTGTCGGGCGCATGTCAAGTAAGTAAAATTAAGTAAGTTTCGACAACGTAAGTCCTATTTGTTTTTCATTTCTTTTTTCATAGAATTTGCTGAAAGAGAGATAATAGAAATTCAAACTGTTTAATCTTGCTGAACGAACCCGGGCATGTAATACTACAGTATAGGCGATTGATTCGTAACTTACTTACTCCGTAACGCTACAGCTCTTGTTGGACTTTGGCTGACGCGACGACTAGCCTCCATCCAACACCATCGGTCATAAGCTCTGTGCCATTTTCGATGTCCAGTTTTCTCAAATCCGCAGCAATAAATTCCTGCTTTTTTCCAATAGCCGTCTAATTGTGACCAGTTGGTCGGTTGTTGATCGGTTTGTCCAAAAGCCGCAAATAGTCTCCTATTATTTCCTCAGTGAATGGGGTTATTCTCGATAGGATTAAATTTGATAGAACTTTGTATGCTACGTTTAGGAGCGATATTTCTCTATGCATATCATTCTCCTTTCATCTTTTTTTGTGTAAGGGGATTATTATGCCTTCTTTCCAGTCTTCTGGGATCTTCTCGTTTTCCAGATAGTTCTTATGAGATCGTAGATTGTGTAGTTGGGATGTGGCTGTGTTACCAGCATGTTTCAAAGGTTCGCCGGTTATTATGTCTTCACCCGGAGAATTATTGTTTTTCAACTTTTTTATAACGTTCTGATTTCCCATTCGACAGGAGTATTCTTCTCGCATTTCCGCAGTTTGGAATCTGAGCGGTTCTTCGTTATTTGTATAATCCTGGTTGAGTAGTTGTTCAAAGTACTCTTTTCATGTTTCCAGCATTTATTCTTGCCTGGTTACTTGGTCTCCGTTGTCGTCCTTCATGATGTTGTTGGTTCTGGGCCTAAAGCCATTCTTTCTTGTTCTTATTGTCTTATAGAATTTCCTGGTATTGTTTTTTCCATCGACTTCCAGCATCTGCAACTTTTGATTTTGTTCTTTTTTTCCTTCTTAGCAGTTGTCTGAATTTACTGTTATTGTCTACATTTTTTGAGCTTGATATTCTAATTCTCAGCTTTTCTCTAACAAAAAAATGGTCCCAGTCCGCGTCTGCCCCTCGACAGCTTCTTACATCCTGGACCTTGTTTCCATGCCTTACATCAATTACGTCGTGATCAATTTGATCATTAACTGATATAATGCACCTTGAAAAACTGTAAATGTATATTGCTGGCGATTTCTACCTACAATAGTTAGTCTAATGTCTCATAACTGGTACTGTGTTGCGGTATGCATGTTCAGTTAGAAATCAGATGCACAATAAACTTTGACAGTTTGGACCAAAAATTCGTTGAAAATTGTCACTTGCAAACTATTCTTTGTGGAGAGCTAACAAAATATAATCAGGAGTCATCATTACTCACAGTGAGTATCCTGTTATGTATCTTCGCAAATGCATGTTTTAGATTTGGCGTTAACACTTTATTTAGAGTTCAGGGAATTTTCTCAAGTTTACTAACCTATTTTTTTTTTGCGTTCCTTACTTTAACCACCGGTCATTTTAAATGATTCGGAAGTTACCGTCCCAGGTCGTAACTTTGACCACCAACATTTTTTTAAAAAAACCAGTCTGTGTTGATGGAACCAAAAATATTATTTCATGTCCCTATAATATCAGGTAATGTCTGCCCAGCGAGTCTGTGTCTACGGGGCAACGGTAAGGGGAATGCAGTTGTAAAAAAAAAAATGGCTGATTTCATTCATAAAATACCCAGCTGCGTGCGGAACTTTTTGGAAGTGTTATCGTATTGCAACTCGTACACGAAAATCAGCAATGACCAAATCTCCGCCACTGGATATTTCAATATAAATCGATATTCCAAGATGGGAGGCTAAAATGACGTGAGCCCTGGCCAATAGCGAGACGTAAGGTGACATTAGTTTATTGACAACCGTATGGTTCCTCATGACAACGGCGATCCTGCCAAAAAGTCCACCAATCAGGTTCATCCAGGACGGATGCTTGCCAAATTGTCAAAAGCTGATGGTATCTTTAGAAAATGTTTATTTTTTATAATAGACCAAACTGAAGAGATCAGGATTAAAATAAGGATAGATCTAACAACCACGTTAAAATATTTAGCGTTTTATTATTGTTATCAATATTTTGTTATTTAAAAATGGATTTTCAAATTAACTATACTTCATGCCTAGTAATTTCGTTTTTTCATAATTAAACGTGACAACATTGCACATTTACGTCCGAATTCCTTCCGTAGACTCA